TACGGTAATTAGCTAATTACCATATCATGTATAGTATCAACTATACATTTAAAGATGTAGTATTCTTGTAGTGCCATTGGACTAACTGATTTTTTCTTTACCCATAGATGACACCAATTGAATTTTTCAAAGCTTTAGCAGAAATGCCATTAGAGAGTTATTTATTCATCATCCCTGTCTTGATACTTATCATAATTTTTATTATGGGGAAAAGTTTTCATGTACCTATTCATTACTGTTATATGCTTTGTTCTCTACATCTTTAAACAATGGATCGATATGTATCTTGATTTATTGAAGGAGAAACAAAAAATGAATCTAAAAAAAATGATAATAAATTTGAAGAAATTGATAACAAAATTGATGAGCTTTATAATAAAATTGAAGAATTTAACAATAAAATAGGCAAACTTTCTGAAAAAATTTCAAATCCTTCAAGTAATAATAGTTCAAGCAGTTCTTGAGGTAAGATTATTTCAATGTATAAATATCTGTTATCTTTATTGAGATGCTCATAGTGAAACAAATATTTTTGTATCATTTCAGCTTCAAAACAAACTTCAGATGAACTTGTGCAAAAATTCAAGAAGCTTTTTGATGAGACTATGTGAGAAAAAGATTATCCCAAAGCTTATATGATTATTGAAGTTGTGAGTGATATTAGAAAGGAGGCAAAAATAAAGGCTATCGGAACCAAGGCTGTTAAAAATATTATAACCAAACAACAAAAGCTGATGCCAGGGTTGTAGGAGCAATCAAATCTTGGATTGAATTCAAATATAAAGAAAAAAATAAATCTGTATTTAACAATAATAACAATGATAATTATAATGGTGATTACAATTAAGAAATAGATAACAATAGTAATAAATAGTTTTCACCTGGTAGAGCCATAGTATAGGGGCATACATTAAATGGTCTAGGGGCTGTACATTCTCTCCCTTGCAACTCTACCATAAGGAATCAATATTAATTATTCTTGAATCTTATTATTATTGAAATATTATTTCGCTTGATTATGTTAAATCATAATAAAATGAATCATTCGAATTGTAATTTTTTAAAGCATATTTGTGTATGACCCATAAATTCCTGAATACTAGTATATATAGTGTGACTATATAAATTATGCATATTTATTTGTGCGATCAACCAATGAATATATACTCTACCTCGGTTACACGATCCCAACCCAGAACCTCCATGATTGGTAGAAAATAAGGAAATCTTATCTTAAAAACATCTTGTCGTGTAACCGAGGTAGAGTTTTCTCAACATACTTTTTCTGTGAAAAATTTATTTTTTTCTGATTTACAGATTAATTTTCACTGAACACGTATACTACTGCAACTCAGGATCTTTAGAGTGTAACGTAAAAAAAAGGTTAATCTTCTATATATACCTTCGCAGCTCTTTAAACTCTCTGGCAAAGTTTACAGTTACGCGTATTCCTACTGTCGTTAGGCCATACCGTCCTGCGTTCAGATGTTTGGAGGCAGTCTGCTGGGCTGTCCTTAAGCACACATGTTTAAGGCCCGAATCTTGGCATTCTGTTTTCCAGAATGCGTTCACTATACCTACTGTCGTTAGGCCACACCGTCCTGCGTTCAGATGTTTGGAGGAGGTCTGCTGGGCTGTCCTTATGCATACGTGTTTAAGGCCCGAATACTGGCATGCAGTTTTCTAGTAAACAGTTAACTGTGAACGTTGCCATGTTTCTTACGTTAAAACAGACAAATTACTGATAACCGCGTTAATATTTTTTTTTTTTAGATGTTTAAATCCATCGTGACAGAATATCTTGATCAAAAAAAAGTAAAGATTGGACGGTTCTCGGAAGTTTAGAATTTACATGATCAAAATCGAAACCCAAACTATCATCGGCTACAATCAATGATTTTAAAGAAGATTTATATGCAGTATTACAGAGATATAAAGACAAATGTAACATCCATATGAACGCCAGAAACAAGGGGTTAAAGATTTTATCGAATTTTAACTCGGTATTTTCAACTACTGAAGTTGAGCGATTCATTAAGGATCTTGAAGTTCTTGAGGAAGCACGTTTAAATGTCACATCCACCCACAGTTACGGTTTTAAAGGTAAGAATTATGAAAATTCGAAACCAACGTTCACAATAGACTAACAGATTTGCCAAAAAATTTTTAGGATCAACAAGAAAATCAAAAGCTTATTGATCAATTACGAGAAACAGGAAATAGGCAGGAGCATGAAAAAATTATTAGACCATTAAATGTAGAAGAAGATCAAGATCGTTTGTTCAAACGTCAACGCCAAGATGATGAACTTGATGAAGAGTTGACTTCATCAAGTCCTTTACAAGATAGTTATATGAAAGATCCCGAATATTTTGACAGTCTTGTAGATAATGTAGATCTATCCAACATTGGAAGAGAAGAAGAACCTATGCCAGCACGCTTAAGGCCTAGTACAATTTCAGTAATTAATAATTGGGATTCCTTCAAATTGATGATATTGATGTTGTGGATTTTTTGATTCCTTATGAGATTTGTTGCCGAAAGACATCCTGAAGTCCAGTAAGTATTATTCTTGTATATATCATGATTTTTCAAAGAACTTTTTTACAAAATTCATGAATATTATTTTTCTCCATTGAAGTCCACAGTATTGGGAGGTTCTTGATTTGACTGGACAGCACAAGCCAACAAAGAAAAAGTTTACCTCAAAATGGAAGGAACTATTAAATAATTTCCAACTAGATATAGCATGGAAAATGGTAGAGCTTGACTAGTTCGAAATAGACTTTTTTGACAATATTGAGGTAATAACAGTAACTGTTTTATATTTATTTAGTCATTACCTTTATTTCGTTTCATTGATTATAAGAAACTTTTCATTGAATAGGATTCAAAGGCACAACAAAAGGTACTAATATTGCACGCACACTTGACAATATTAAAAGAATACCTTAGAAATATTAAATTGCCGATAAATGAAGGGGAGCTTATGATTCACATTGTTGCCCCTGCTTTTAGAATGAGTATTGACCAAAATCAGGAGAAGTTTCGAAAACTTTGGTATTTTTTCAAAGGTTCAGATTATATGTTGTTAATTTTATTTTAACATTTTATTTTTGGATTTTCAGGTGTAAATGACAATTAGTAGCAAATCAAGAAAGGCGTAGAGTTGACCAAGATCACAATGATGATTGTGCACGTGTTGTACAAAAAACTGATTTAATTGTTACTTTGCCAACAGGACCAACCTTAGAAGGATTTATATGCGAAGTTTCAGGAGGACTTCCAGCAGGATGCCCAAAAAAAATATGGACAGATAGATTAAAAATTATGGTTGGAATACGTGACATGATCAATAGTATAATGAAATCATTCCCTGGCTTATTACCGGAGGATTATATGAAAATTGTTGTATTTGGTTCTCAAGTAATAGGTAATCTTTTTTTATTTTTCAGAATGAACATATAGATATTTCTAAAAGATTGTCAACAAAATATATATTTTTTTATATCACAGGATTACAGATTAACCTTTATGCGATGGATGTACGGGCATATGGAATCTATCGTTTTGGAATAATTGACAAAGTGTTTTTACCTGCATCAATGCAAGTGTTGTCAGCATATGAGTCAGTTCATGTGATGTTGCGTTCCTTAGAGGTTTGTTATTTATTTACTTCCTTACTAATATACATATCATCATGCTTATCGATTTAATTTTACAGCACCGATTGAGTAATCTTATGGAATATTGCTCAGATCTTAAAGTTAAACATGCAAGGTTGAGGCGTAAACGTAACTATTTGTATCGAGAAGACAATCTTGCATTTACAAACAATACCCCGAATACATCTCCCCAAAAAAATAAGAGATCAGAGATATATAGACTATAATAGTCATAATGTATTATTATGATTAACAATATACTGTATATATAGTTAATAACTGCATTAGGGATTATTTTTCTGAGTTACGCTATTTATGATTCATTATTATTTATTGTGAACTAGAGTTCACGGGTGCAATGGCATGTGATATATTAGTCGAAGCTAATGTGAACCATTGGAACGAATTATCTCAACTATTAAAAATACTATTGAATAAATAATAACAATAAAAAATAAAATAAAAAAATAAAAATAAAAAATAAAATAAAAATAAAAAAAAATAAAAAAGAATAAAAAAAAATAAAAAAAAAAATAAAAAAAATGTGCAAAATGATAAAAATACATAATTATTTGTAGTAAATACCCTGTCTAGAAGGTTTCTGTGGTTCATAAATACTTTTTCTGAATTAAAGTATATACTTGTATGTCTGCCAATTCTTTGGTGGACAATTACCTAAAAATTAATACAATGGAAAATCATGAAAACTCTGTAAGATTGCAAAATGGACTTGAAAATGTCAGTAATAATGATGTTGATTCTGATATGAATTTAGATCAAAGTGAAGATAAGGATTGGACTGTTGTCAAAAGAAAGGAACGTTTTATTGTTCAAATTGAAGCTGAAAATGTCCCTGGTGGTAATAATAATGCAAAACTTGCATCAGCTTTCAAAAGTATTATCAAATATTCAGCCCCTCATTGGCTTAAATATTAAATATATTAAAGGAATCAAATATATTTAGCACGGTCGCGTTTACTTCGTCGACACCCATTTCGTCGAAAGTTTGTTTCGTCGAAAGTTCGTTTCGTCGAATGTTCATTTCGCCGAATGTTCATTTCGCCGAATGTTCATTTCGCCGAAAATTCATTTCATCCTCGAGCCAGAGACCGAACGAGTTAGATGTGAGGAGTGTGGGGAGTTAGTTAAGAAATTAGGTGAGGAAAGCGGGGTGTGTGGGAAGTGTGAGGAGAAATTTGTTTAATGAAGTTTTTTTTTGTGATGAAATAATTTTCGACGAAATGAACTTTCAATGAAACAAACTTTCGACGAAATGACTGTCGACGAAATGAATCTGACCCTAACTATTTACAATTTTGATTCCTAAAACCGGTGTTCCAAGCACTCCAGGACCCCGGATAATTATATAGAATGTGGGAGGAAAATCAATTATAAGATTTACCCAAAATTTTTTAAAATTTTTACCCACTTATATATATATATATATACCGCATTTAAAAAATTCTGAATTTACCTAAGCTTTTACATACCAGATTAGTAAAAAATATATTTTATTTATTTTTTTCTTTTTGATTTGGACAATGTAAAATACAAGTTAAAATGCTATCATTAGAAAGTGTTTGATAAATCTGTATACATATCCATACATGATTCTTCTTAAGGATACTGGCTGCAACTTTTGATAATGGTTGCTACCATCTTTGTGTCATATAAAAATGATTGCAACTGTTGGTTGCAACCACATTTTATTTCCTTTTTTGGATTGTGACATGGAACACTCATTCTTCTACTTGAAATCCCAAATAATAAAGTATTTGTTTGGATGGTAAATGACAAAAATATTCACACTTTGAATAGAACAAATTATGCAGCAAATTTTAAATATTTTGGTAGATACAAATATAATTAGATTAACTTCATTTACAGGTTCTTCAGTGTATGAATGATCGTTTCTGGTTGATGGTAATAAATTGCAAGTATTTGTGCAAGACATATTTCCTTATTAATTAAGGCTAATGCAAATCCTCCCTTTTGTACTGGATAAATCGAAGAAATATTTGCTGTAGAAATTGAAGGAATACAATCCAAAACTGTAAAATAGTAATTAATTTATTAGTAAAAATTAATAAAGTCAATTGGTTATTTATTTATACTTACTGTAATTCAACAGTTGTGATTCTCATGAATTTTTTAACATTTCATTAACATTTTCAAATCTTTTCCTATACCCATCATTCTAATCATGCTTTAGGTAATCTTGAATTATTATTATTATTATTAATTTGTGCAACTATTTTGCTAACAATAGACAGATTGACTTCAGATGAATTATAATCTCTTTTGGATAATTTGAAAAGTTTTTTTTCTGTATGTTTCATTTATTAACAAGATTTTTTTTTTTTTGCATAAAACAAATTTTATGTTATCACATTAAGCAATCAAATTTTTAAAATTTTTTTTTTCCCCTTCACTTTATCAATGTGTAAACAATTGAATTTTTCATGCATTGCAAATAAAGTAGAATGATTTACCATACATAATAATAATGATAACATGATGATTTACCATGATTTACCCAATTTATAATTATACCACATTAAAAATCCTACCACTATTTTTTCGTTTACCTCATTTTACCCAGTGTTGAAAATTCAATGCCCGCGTGTAACATTACACACCAATCAATTTTTTAATTTTTGGAGATAGTTTCTAAATTTGTACTAGTTACACAACGAAATTTCAACACTGCATAGAAGACATGACAAATCTTGCTCCATATTTTGATTAAATCAATCATATTCGTAATAAGATATTTATAAAAAGAGAAGATGTCAATACAAAAAAAAAGTACCTCTGGTTAGTTTTAACTCTTCTTTAAAATCAATTATACCAATAATACTTCTTCTAGTGTGTTTGTCGACCGACTCCGTCTAGAATAAATTGTTTTTCCAAAAATGATTTCGCGTTGAAAGAACACAACTCAATTAAATCAATACAAGATACTTTGTAACAATTTAGAAAGAATTGGCAATATTTGACGATAATAATACTATTACTATGGAAATTTCCGAAAGAAAAGGTTTCACAAAATTGATTGCTAATTTGAATTTTCACACGCGTGAATTTAAAAATTGATCGTCAAGGTCTTTTATCCTCCCAAACTTTTTGAAATGTTCAAGGGTTGTATTTATAATTATGATAAAAAAAATATATCATTTAATTAAATCAAGCCTTTTTCAACAATTTGATCTCCTTAATTAATTAATAATTATCTTAATCTTTAACCTATTTTGTTATAAATATTTTTATTTTATGTTTCGTGACAATCAAGTTTTTGTTTGAATGGATCCATCTAACCGCAAATATATATAGTCACTCTTTCATTTGGTTACAAAAATCCTTTTTTAGTTCGTGTTCAAAAAATTCAATTTTTTTTTTACAAAAATTGTATTTATTAAGAGTGCAAGTGGAGGGAGAGAAGGTCTATACAGTACGACAATGAATGAATCAGGTGAAGCTAAGGCCAAATACGCATGGAAATTCTGTGTCTAATAATGATAATAATATGATGTATATTATTAAATGAAAAAATCAATTTCAGCATATTTACTTTATAAAAAATTGTAAAATAAAAAATTTTAATTTTTACTTTCATCAACAATTTTCAATGCCTTTTAATTTTGTCAAATCGTCAAAATAGCTTTTGGAAAGAAACTACCTTTAGTCAGTACTTTCATCACGTCGTATATCATTAGTCAATACATAAATATTCACGAAGAATTGTTTTTTATTAAACTCTCAAAAATTTTATTTTTTATTTTTTTTAATTCAAAAAAAAACAATTGTTTTTTTTTCGATATTAAATTTAAGATATGTATAAGATATTGGGCATGCAACGGCCAATATCATGACATCCTGGATGTCACTGAAATTGTCCATCGCACGCCCAATATAAGTAATAATGAATAAGAAAAGAGTTTTAAAAAAAGCAACAAGCATTATTAGAGCATGAGAACATTATTCTATTCTAGTTTAAAAAAATATATTGGTGATGATTATTCTAGTTAATTTGCTATATGATGATTGTATTCCATCAATATTCTAGAACTAGATGTCAAGAATATATTCTTTTTTTGACTCAATGTAAAGAATTGCATTGGCAGGTTTTGATAGTTAGACATATATAAGGAATGAAGTGTTTATCATTTACAAGGGAAACTCCTAGATGTCAGGGATCTACTTGACGACGTTAAATATAATGAATGACTTATTTTTTTTTTTTTTTGTAATCATTATTATGATTTATAACAGGATAATGATTGGAGTCATATTGAAAACTTAATCATCAATTCCTTGATCATTGCTATCCATTATTGTTAAAACAAGATGGTTTCCTTCTGGAGTTTATAACTCCAATAATCAAAGTTAGTGATAATGACTAAATTATATATATTTGTTTCGTACTTTTGTAATCTATCTTTTTTAATAGTGCAAGAAAGATAAATCAATTTATGATACCTTCCAAAAAAAGTTTTATAAAATATACTAACTAAAAAGTGGATTTATTTAAGTTTTTCCTATAATATCAACGTCTTTATAGAGTAATAACCATATGAAAGCTTAAAGTATTTTACACCCTCTTAGCCACTATAGGTCTTTTAAAGTGATATTGAAAAATAATATGAGCTTTGAAGCTGTGTGTTTATTTAGAGAAGATCTTTCAATATGAAAAGGTATTCATTAGAAAGCTTTAATGGAACAATTCGTTTTACTTTAATAATGGAGTTTGAGTTTACTATAATACATTGTTGGATTTCATTGGATGATCATGGTAATCTGAAGATTGCATTCAAAATTAATTTGATGGGCGGGTAGATAGATTTAATATAAATTGCATTTCAAATTAAATGTGACCTCTTAGAGTTAATAAATTTTCTGCATGACTGAAAGGTCATAGAAATTGGCAAGCAAGTTTTGCTAAAAATGTGATTTTTTATTTTTTTTTTATAATTCAAAGAGATTTCATCCCAAAATGTGCTTTGACTTGATTACAAAAAGTTGTATCATTATTCTTTTAGTGCCATAAATGACTTTTATAATGAAAAAAGTTGTATCATACTTTTTGTGCCACAGAATGAATTCAAATAATAATTCTATATAAAAAAATTAAAGGGCTGTATGTAATATTTAAGACTTTACTATTCATTCATAGATCAGCAATTCCACATCTCTTTTCACTTTATCTGAATTTATTTATATGGTTCATTATCATTATTGTTATCCATTAGTATAATTAATGAAGTACTGTTTGTTATGCTGTTTGTTTATTAGATTTTACAAAATCTATTCTTCACATGAGAATATGACCAGAATTTTTTTTTATTATGGATATTAATATCTGCTTTTATAAATTGTGTGCTATTTATAGCTTTCTAATGAAATCCTCCTCTTCCTCATATTGATGTAAAACTATAGCTATTCAAAAACAGCATGACATTTCACTTCAAACTAATTTACCTTTATAAACTTGATGAATGGTTGCAAGTTTTCGTGTGGGTATGTGGATTGTTTGTTTTATCACATAGGAAAAAATGTAGGTAGGAGATCATCAGTCATAATACCAAAAAAGAGGTAAGTGATTCCAAATGCGGTAATTTGGTTGATAATCATCCAAAAGAAGGAATAAATAACAAAAAAGGGTTTGTGGCGATGTCGATTACTTAAAATTTCGGAAAAAACATCTGAAAATCGTTTGTGTGATTGATGATGATGAATAATCTTCTCCGCTAAGTGTTAGTAGAAGTAGAGTAGAAGTAGAAGTAGTAATTGAAACCATTGCCATTATATTATTATTATATTATTTAGTTATTATGGAAGCGCCGATAAAAAAGTCTACAGCAATAATATCATTAGAACGTGAAAATTCTGATAAATTACTTAAAGAGAATAAAGTACTTAAACAAAAAGTCGATGCACTAGAAAAAGAAAATAAGTTATTAAAAAAATCCATATATGATTTATCAGTGAAGTATACAACGGTTGGTTATCATCAAAAAATAGGGCATTTTACAATATTTGATCAGGATGAACCAGTACAAGATGGTGGGAAAGAAATCAAGGAAATAAATTTGGAAAATTCAACTGGTGGGTAAAAATATAAATATCTAATTATAATGTATGATATATGTATGTGTGTTATGTATGTATGTATGTATGTATGTAAAGGATCTTTAAAAGAAAAAAGGTATTATTATTATTATTTTTTAAAATAATCAAATAATAATAGTAATAATAATGATGATGATGATGATGATGATGATAATAACTGCTAATAACAATGTAAAGATTTTTTTCCCAAGTTGATCTAACCAAAGTAATCCAAAATATATAATTTTTAGTAATAGTGATAGTAATCTACATGAGAATGTATACACACATACATTTATATTTATATTATATACATAACATTTATATATATTATTTATTACAATATAGGGAATGGTACACGTGATAAACATCGAGAAGGAAGAACTTTTCATCCAAAATCTGAATTTAAGGTTGATTGATTTAGTGGATGAAAAAAATTTTTTATTAAATTACACAATTGTCTAATATTCTAATCATTTAACTCTTTTCTAATATAATCAACTAATCTAAGGGACATGTCGGAGCAGTTTATGCAATACATTTTTCGCCTTGTGGCAAAATGCTTGCATCGGGGTCATTTGATAAAACAGTTCGAATATGGGATACTGTATCTTTACAAAAAGAGGTAATTATTTTCTTGTGTGTTCAGTAATGATAATGATGATAATTACTGAGATTATTAATAAAAATAATAATATAGCAAGCTTGTTTGAAAGGACATACATTAAATGTATCGGATGTTTGTTGGTCAAATGATTCTAATTCAGTGTTATCAGGAGCATATGATCAGACATGTAAATTATGGGATATTGAGACAAACAGATACATACATTCATTTGAAAGTGAAGGTTTTGTTCAGTGTGTAATGTTTAATCCACAAGGTAAATATATGTATCGATTTATCTAATGATTATTAACTTGATTAACGTCATATAAATATAATATCAATTATTATTATTATTAGATAATAATGTATTTGTTAGTGGTACATCACGCAAAATTTTGACAGTTATTGATGTCAGAAAATCAGAAAATTCCATCAAATTGAAAAATGAAGGGATGATAAATTCTTTGTATGTTTGTCAAGATGGTCAAAATATTATTACTGGTGATTCCATGGGATTCTTGAAAACCTGGGATATTAGAAATGGTTTGTTTCTATTATAATCAATCGATTGTATTTAAGAAGAATATTAATTAATTGGCATTAATTGATTGATATAAAAGGATTGGCATTTCAATCAATTCTCAATGAACAAACCAAAAAACCTATTTCTCATATAGCAATTCCACGAAAAAGTTTTAGTATGTTTTTTCACCTAGAAAGAGAGAGAACAAAATAAAATGAATCCAATAAAAATATTTTTCCATCCTCTTTTTATTTTCTAATTATATATATACATGTGTGTATATATATAGATGATGATGAACCCAGATATATGGCAGTTAACAGTTACGATAATGGTAAGAGAAAAGTGTGTGTTTGTATATATATATATATATATATATGGAAATTTAAATATATTTATCAAAGAAGCTTTTACATTTATTGGAATAACAACAGTAATAAGGATGTATGATCGTGGAATTGAGCCACCAAAAACTCAACCTCGGTTAATCCATCTATTAAAAGGATATAAAAATAAAGGATGGCCAATCAAAAGCTCATTTTTTATTGGAAAAGATCGTAAGTAAATTTTGTGTTGTTATTGTTATTATTGGAATTAATTAATTGACAATTTCTTAATTAATGAATGAATTTATTGTCTATAGATCAATATACTATACCACAATATACTAATCTCAAAGATATATATGATGACAGTGTTGAATTGGTGGATGATGTTGCAGATAGTACTACGTCAGTATTAATTGATTTCTAATTGGCAGAATAATTGGTTTCCAATTAATTTACTTTTCTCACTTTCAAACATAGATATGAAAAAGATAAGCCTTTAGAAGCAAGTTTGTTATTAGCTACAGGAAGTGCAGATGCGTATGCATATTTATTCAATGTTGGTGGTCCGGAGGTAAAATTAAAATATTTAAAATAATAATCTATGTTCACACATGCATATATATATTTACATCCCAATATAATATATATGAATAGGGCACGGGAGAGTTAATTCAAAGATTGGAAGGTCATACTGATTTTGTGTATGCAGTAGATTTTCATCCCATTGAACCAATATTAGCAAGTTGTTCGGCTGACTGTACTATAAAACTTTGGGCACCAAATAGCAAAGGAAAAAAGAAGAATTAATTGTTATTGTTATTATATTATTATATCTTTATTGTTATTATTATTATTATTATTATTATTATTAAATATAAAGTAGATTTTTTACATTTTTTAATTGCTAGAGAAATAAATTTAAATTATTTAAATCATTAAAAAAATCCAATTCAGAAAACAATTGAAAATCTACAAATTGATATTTTAACAATCCTAGTTTTTGATATTTTTTTAATAAATCCTCCAATCTACCATTAGTAAATGCATATAATTTCAATTTGAAAGGTCTATATCCTTTCCAATTCCTCATTAAATTTTCAAGTGAACTCCGAGAAATAGAAACACCAAAAATACCATAATCGAAAATTATAGTATTTAAACTTTTTGGTGATGATTGACTTAAAACCGATAATATGCCACTACCATCTAATTTATGATGAATACAGCCAAATCTAATGATTCTCAATTTAACACAATCATTAAATAATTTCAATAATTCTTTATCCATACTGCTTTCATAAAATATTTGTAAACATTCCAAATTTGGACAATTACAGCCAATAGAATTAATAAGTTCTTTCAAATGTTTTGCGTCTTTTGGCGAACCATCGATCGCTAAATATTTAAGATCCTTTCCATTAATTTTAATAAAAGTTGACAGTTTCAATAAAAATGATCGTCTGCGCGTTCTTAAGTAAACGGCTTCAAGATTTGGATATAAATTGCATCCCAAGTATTTAAAAGTTGAATCTGAAGGATCAGATAATTTCAATCTTTTTAAATTTTTAAGTTCTGATATTAAAGAATTAAGGCTAGTCTCTCCATGACATTCATAATGCATTATTGATTGTGAATGCTCCAAGATTGCTTCTTTAAGATCGTTTGATGAAACCATGTCATCATATTGTGTGTAAATAGTGAGTTTTTTAATTTTTTTCTGTGCTCTGATTAGTTGAACTAGACTATTATTAGGATTTAAATTACAATTATAATAGATTGTCAAGATATTAATATTTTTACAAATTTTTGTCAATTTATTAAAAAATTCAGGGTCGTTATTAGAGACACATTCTAATTCATAAAGATTTCGAAAGCAAGCGTCAAATCTATGACTTTCAATCTTCCATGCAAAAT